GGGCTGGGGATTCGAACCCGCCACCTTAGGTGTACGTGGCTGGCGCCTTAGCCGGTTGAGCTATAGGCACCAAGCCGTAGTTGTCATTTTTGTTTGGCGGACTTGGGCTGGATTCGAACCTGCCAGCTCTGGTATATATGGCTGGTACCTTCACTGCTTGAGCTACAGGCGCCGAGCCATGAAAGTGCATTTTAAACAAAAATGACAATTGTTACTCCTTCTTTTAGGGCATGGAATATTAAGCTTTGTGCTTTCTCGGCTTCCCTATGCTTATAAAAATTATATTGGAACTATCAACTTTGTTCTGCCAAAATCTAAAATCTTTTGAGGTAGAAGAGAACACAAGAGCATGGTCCTGGGAATGGTGAGGTAACTCCACCTAAGGGGCAAAGTCCCCCGCCTGGTGCCTGGGTCAGCTTGATTTCAGGGGTAGGTGTTTCTGGCACTTCACGGCCCACAGCCCCATCATGGTGAGCACTCTGAGCTCTGATGTAGACCTGCCCTAACCTGCAAGTTCCAGGGACTCAGGCCAAACCCTCACCTCCATCTTCCTTAGGAACTTGCAGGGAGGGCCCATTTGGCCAAGGCAAGTAAGGTCAGCCCGAACCTCAGGCCCTTTGTGGTGGCCCTGTGGCCTAGGTGCCCCAGGCACCCCAAACGAGTTTCCTGTGGACTCTGCTTATAGGCATTTTTTTGGGTCTTCCATGTCCCCTCCCCAAGTCCCATGGTGTCACTGCCTCTGCACCATCAGTCTCAGAGTGGCATCTTCTTCAAAGCCCAAATGTCCATCATCACTGCCTGCCAGGCACAGGACCACTGCCCACTGGGGTCCAGTCTCTGGTAGGAAGAGGAGATGTCTGGCAGGTTACCAGGAGCTCCTGGCTGTTGTTGGGTATTCTGGAAGGTGGAGAAAGCTGGTGTGATGGAGTACCTCCAGGTAGAAGGTGGAGAACATGGGAGTTGTGAGCCTTGGTGGGAGTTTGCTCCATTCTAGGGTCAGCATGAATGTGGAGAGCTCGTCCCTCTTTTGAATGTTTCCTTCATCTTCAGTGCGAAGAGAGGCCTGGATGGGGCAGTACATGGCCAAGGCCAGGCCCCAGACTGCTGGACACCAGGATAGGGTCATCAGAGCTGGTGAGGACCGCAGGGGTGCATATGGACATGTTGCAGGATGACCACTTCTTCTGAAGTTGGTCACCACTTCTTCTTACGGTTATTAGTGATCAGAAATCATAGTCATTGGAGAGGGCCATGCCTCAGTGCTGTTGCCAGCATCTTCTGTCAGGCACAGGGAGCTCTCTCCCAGCGCCTCTGTCCTCAGTCAGGTGGAGTCCCCAGATGCCCTGGAGCTCTGCTCTTTGGCTTGGAGGGTGGCTGGTCAGCGCCCCATGGTGGCCTCATTCACAGATGGGAGCACCGAGGGACCTCACTCAGCCTCAGGCTGCAAGGCGAGGTGGAAACCAGGCAGTGGGGACCAGCCCTGAGGCAGGGATGATGGCCATCCCTCCCATGCATGCAGACCCAGCCAGTCTTGGCCTCCATAGGTTTGTCACATGCCTCTGTCTGCAGCCCTTGTCCCTCTTGTCCTGAGGCTTCTGGAAGAGCCAGGGCCTTGACATATGAGCCCTACCTGGCAGGTGGCCAGAATGCATGGGGCTGCTGAGTCCCACCAAACAGCACTGATGGCTCAGAGTTGTCCTGGACATCTCTGCCATAGCCACAGAGATGGGCACAGCTTTAGGTCAGTGAGGTGAGCAGTTAGTGGGCTATGTGTGCAGCTGTGATCTGTCCTGGACACACTGGACCTTGGTTCTTGTCCCTGGGGTTGGGGGACTTGGTATGGAGAGGTGGTAAGTTCTGCTGCATCCCAGTGAAGCTACTTTGTGGCCATCATGTCAGTGGCTTCAGGAGGAGGGGTCAGTGGCTTTGCAGCCACCCTACCCTGTTGGTGTCTCCCAGGAGCAGCTTTCTCTGTCCTTCTGGGCCTGTGTCCCAAGCCCCGGTCTGCCATGGTTTCGATGAATAGTTGCTAGTTGTGAAATGAGGCTAACTGTCCTTATATAATTTAGAGTATAAAATTAGTATTTTAAAATATAGAGAATTCTGCCTTTAAAGAAAAAAACCTTTTATTTGAGAATAGTTTTAGATTTATGTGGAAATTGCAGCTAGCACAGAGAGTTCCTTCATCCCTTGTGTCTGGTCCCCCAACTTGGCATCTTGGTCAGCTGGCACCCTTAGAGGCAGTGAACCAGTGTGGGTCCGTTATCATTACAAAGTCCACACTTGAACTGCTTAGTTTTCCCCCACGTGACAGGTATTCAGCGTGTCTCTGTGGCCTCCTGGGGTAAGTGACAGACTGTCCTGGGTTTTGATTACCTTGATGGTTTTGAGGAGTACTGGTCAGGTATTTGTAGAACACCCAGCGATTTGGGTTTGTCTGATGTTTTCCCCATGATTGGCTGGGTGGAAGACCAGAGCCTAGGTGCTATTTCTGCAGGTCCAGGCACTTGCTGTCAGTGGTTGTGTTATCGTGGGTGCTGGTGGTGGTGGTCTGGCCCAGGTCCTCTGTGAGGTCATGAAGGTCCAGTCTGGGGGTTTCTCCTGATAGGCTTGGCAGGAGTTCTCCTCTCCCTCCCTCCTCTTCCTTACCCTTCTCCTCCAAGCAGCTTCCTAACCCCCTCTCTCCCCGTCCCCCTGCTTCCAGCCTAGCAGCAGCTGTTCCTCCTAAGAGCTGAGGGAGGCTGCACACTGCTCCATTCCTCTCTACGCGTGAGAGCCAAAAGTCACTGTGCACCAGGCAAAGAAGTAGTGCAGCCACCCAGGTCCTGTGGCTTTGGGATTACCAGCTGTCTTGTTCGTTCGCAACCCTTGTGTGGAGTGTGAGTGTCAGATCCACATGCTACTGGCCTGGGCTCCTGTCACCTGGCTGCTCTGTTTCTGTCTGTGGGTCTGCATCCACGCCGCCTGCGCCAGGACTACAGCTTCAGGCCCACGCCCCTGCCCAGCGCCAGCCCCTGGCATTCCTGGTTTTCAGAACGGCCCTGTCCAAGTGTTTTGCATTTTCCTGACCAGTTTGCCTGATAATACCACCTTCTGCCTTAAGAAACTGTTGTGAAGGGCAGGTCTGTCCTGTCCTGCTTTGAGTTTGTGGTACTTTGAATCTTCTGGAAAGTTCTCAGCTACTTTTTTTTTTTTAATACTTCAGGCCAGGCACAGTGGATCTCATGAGCTCACAGGTTGGAGACCAGCCTGAACCAGAGCCAGATCCTGTCTCTAAAACTAGCTGGGCATTGTGGCGGGTGCCTGTAGTCCCAGCTACTCGGGAGGCTGCAGCAGGAGGATCGCCTACACTGAAGAGCTAGAGGTTGCTGTGAGCTGCGACACTATAGCACTCTGTTTTTTGAGACTCTGTCTCAGAAAAACAAAACAAACAAAAAACCCACTTCTGCCCCCTTTCATCTCTCCTTTATGGATCCCTTAGGCCTTTTCACTGTGCCCACCCTCCTGGTCCTCACCCTGCCCTTTGCCCTGTCAGCTCTTCTGGGTTAATTTGCTCTGAAACTATTTGTTTTTAAGTCTTATATTTTCTACTTCATTCTTTTAATGATCCTTTCTCTATAGAAATTCATCTAATGTAATTTTTTAACATTAATTGCAATTTAAATTCAATGCATGCTGACTCCCAAATATGGATGCCCTCTGGTCTGTTTCTGTGATTCTTTTTCTTTCTTCTTGGGTTTTTTTTTTTTTTTTCCTTTTGAGATAAGTCTCTGCCACCCAGGCTGGAGTGCAGTGGCTTCCCAGCTCACTGCAGCCTCCAGCTACTCCAGGGCTCAAACATCCTTTTGTCTCAGCCTTTGAGTGGCTGGGACTACAGGTTGCAGCACTCGCTTGTTTACTTTTCTTTATTTATTTTTCTTTCTTTCTTTTTTTTTTTAAACACATAGGGTCTTGCCATCTTACCAAGGCACGGAAAGTCTGTAGTCAAAGGGTGGTACAGGGCACGGGAGGTCTGTAGTTAGAAGGAGGGACTGGGCGGGACTGGAGGGGGGCGTCCGGCTTGGGTCTGAGCTGCGCCTGACGCCCCCGTCTCGCAGGCTGGAATGGGTGGAGATCATTGAGCCACGCACGCGCGAGCGCATGTACGCCAACCTGGTCACCGGTGAGTGCGTTTGGGACGCCCCGGCCGGTGTCCGCATCAAGCGCACAAGCGAGAACCAGTGGTGGGAGCTGTTCGACCCCAACACATCACGCTTCTACTACTATAACGCCAGCACGCAGCGCACAGTGTGGCACCGGCCGCAGGGCTGCGATATCATCCCGCTGGCCAAGCTGCAGACACTGAAGCAGAACACCGAGTCCCCACGCGCCTCAGCCGAGAACAGCCCCGGGCGTGGGAGCAGCGTCAGCCGCGAAGGCAGCACCAGCTCCTCGCTGGACCCGGAGCTGGACGGAGACAAGGCGCAGGAGCTGCCCGGGAGGCCGGGACGGCCGGCGGCCTTCGCGGCTGCACGAGAGGAGAGCGGCAGGTGAGGCCTGGGGCGGGGGCAGTGGGGCAGAGGCGGGGCCAGCGCACACTTTATGGACTCTTGTCTTCTCAGCATTTGACTGTGTTATCTGCTACCACTGTCCCCAGCAATCACTTCCTTGACTCTGGTTTAAAAGAGACTAGTGTTCAGTGATACAGAGTGTTCCCGTCTGTTGACCACCCTCTTGCTCTCATGCCAAGATCCGCCCGTTGCTGGGCTCCCCTGGCAGGCCACCCCCAGGGGACTTGGAACCAGTTTGGGGCACTCCTTTGCCTCTCTGCTAGGGTCTTCTGCTACTGATGAGAAAGTCAGTCCCCTGGATTCCTGGAGCTCAGGAGCTAATGGATGAACTGGGCCAGTGAGGAAGAGGAGAGGAGAAGAAGCCTCGCTCTCCTGCCCCTTTTCTGGATGGGGTTGTCAGCAGCACCTGGACAGGAGCTTTCTCTGGCTGGCAATTGTGGAGTGGTGTCTTTGGCACTTGGCTTGGTTCTCTCTGCTTATGTCCCAAGATGCTCCAGAGACACATTGCTGATTGTGCATGGGACAGAAGAGTACCTTCACTTGGCAAAGCCCTCCACACCATCCCCTGGGCACCGGGCGTGGACTGTGCAGGTGATGACCTGCTGTGGTGCCTAGTGTTGCCTGTGAGTTGGGCTGACTTTCCTGTTCCCTTGTGAAGGGAGGTGCTGCTGTTCTTAGGCCGCAGGTGAAGACACTGAATGAAGTTCAGGCTGAGGAACTTGTCCATGGCAGGCAGGAAAGCAGATGGGCTCCTTGGAATGCTCATAGCAGCTGCTCATTCACATGGACATCTTTGCTGTGTCTGTTCAGAGGGTGGCAACATCAGCCTTATTTGCCCTAGTGAAACATGAGGCTGTGACCCATACATGGCTCTGGCACACTTTTGGGCATCTCCCTGAGGTGTACGCACATGCACACCTCAATCTTTTGGTGTGGGATCTATGGCCCTAGTAGTGTGAGAACTGGCAAGCTGGACCTACAGCCAAGGAAGCCATCTTGGAGCAGCAGGATGGCACAGGGAGAGGCAGTGAGATGGGTTATATTGGATTTTACTCAGGGATAGTAGAGACAATGAGAATAACTAGAACATAATATATACCCTGAGGGTTCATTTTGCTCATGATAAGAATGACATGCACGGGATCTAGAATGGAAACAGATCCATGGGACAGCCATCACCAGAGTTGGAAGTGGCTGTCATGTGCAGTGCTGTGGGGTAGGAGCAGGCAGAGCCAGAGTTTGGGGTGTAGTGAGCTGGCATAGGGCTCTTGCATAGGACAGGGATGGGTCAGTGTGAATACTGACCACAGTACGTGGGGTCTAAACAGGCTTGGGGTGACCTTTTGCAGTCATCTGCAGAGAGCAGAATTTCCCTTGGTGAGACCTGAGGAGAACCCTGCCCTTGCCAGTGGAAAGAGGACAGGATTCAGGGAAAGGGTCTGAGAGGGGCTGTGAGGGCTAACACAGGTGGGTGGGTATAGGGCACTGCAGTGAGATGATGGTGGGTGGGTGTTGTTGGGTGCAAGAGGTGATCTGGGGTCAGGTGAGATTGTAGGGGAGCAAGGGTGAGACTGTCGCCCATGCAGGGGCAGCTGAATGTTGAGGGCAGCCAGGTAGCTGGGCCTTCACAGGGTGCAGGATGGGTCTCATCCATGCAGCCTGAAGCCTAGCCCCAGGACAGGACTGGAGACTGAGAAGACATAGACAAGACTCTGGTGCTCCCCATACCAGAGTTTAGTGCTGAGCATGTGAGGCCAGCACTTTTCAGAGGTGGAAAGGAGGTGGGGAGGGGATCCAGTGTGAAGCAGAGAGCTCAGAGAGGGCAGGCCGCCTTAGCATTCCCCGCCCAGTGCAGGCCTTGGGGGGCCAGCTGAAGGCTTTGAGTGTAGGACAGGGGCTACAGGGGATGGGGCTGGTCAGGGCTGGGGGAAAGTGGGTAGAGAGGCACCCAAGAGTTGCAGAGTTAGTGTTGGGGCATGGGCACAGCTCTGTGGTATATGGCGGGGTGGGGGGGGCGCTGCTCTCCCCTCCCCTCCAGCTCTCTGCATCCTCCCCACCTTAGACTTTGTTCTTCAGGTTTCTTTTAGCTTTTCTGGTGGTTGGGAAGAGGTGTCTCATTGTGGTTTAGGCTTGGTTTTCTTTAATGACTAATAACTTTGAGTTTCTTTTTGGGTGCTTATTGGCTATTAATATGTCATTCTAGAGAAATGTCTGTTCAGATCTTTATTTTATTACTACGTTACATGTTCTTTGTATTCTGGTGACAAGTCCTTTGTCAGTATATAATTGACAAATGTATTCACCCATTTTGTGGTTGTCTTTTCACTTTTTTTTTTTTTTGAGACAGCGCCTCAAGCTATCACCCTGGGTAGAGTGCTGTGGCATCACAGCTCACAGCAACCTCCAATTCCTGGGCTCAAGCAAGTCTCCT